TTAAATCCCAAAAATGTGATAACAAAATTAAGATGTAATGAATGCATTGGATTCCAAACGGTAGTTTCAAACTTATTGTATATTGTATGTTAATTCCACATAACTTGGTGAACAAAGTTACAGAATCTTTCTTCGTTTTGTTAATTTCACCCAAGTTTAACACTAGCCACATTAAATGTTTTGTAGTCATCACATTCTCTTACATATTTTAGACTGATTAATTGGCGTCTATATTAGGAAAGGGAGTGTTCTTATAACTCTTAGCACATAATAATTATAATATAGTGCAGGTTTAGCCAACATAATAAATATTAGCTGAATTAGGATATGTAATTTTATCTTAGCTTACTTTTCAGTAACATAAGTTGTGTTATTTTATCTTACCAACTTAACAAATATAAATGAATGAATGAATGAGTCACGTCTCCTTTGAAATAATATTTCTGCATTACACACTCAACAGGATCATTGTAAAACGTTTTCTATAAATGGCAATCGTTACAAGTGACATGGTTTTAGTAATCACATTGACACTAGCACAACTTTTATCATATTTTTGCTTAAAAATACGATTGAGGGCACGCTTAGTTCGCTTTTTAGAATTTAAAGCCGATTTTACGAGGAAAAAGTTATTTTTACTCCTAAAGTCCGAAACACACTAGGCAGTCGCTTTAGTCGCGCGTCTAAAACTACCGCTATGCGTGGTTACTGAGGTTAATTGTGTGTAATTACGTGGGAGTTAATGACGACACGTGTGAATCTACTATCGTCCCAACAGACGCAAAGCTGAAGACGATTCATATTGAAATCGACTTTTACAAACTGCGGTGAATGAATCAGACCTAAAAATATGTAAACATTGCATTATATTGTTGACTTACACAAAAACTATTTGAAGTTGAAAGTGCGTTAGATATCGTTGGAAGAATGGTGAAAGTGGATAAATGGAAATATTTGTGTTAAAACAAGATACATAGTTTTTGTAACAACAGTTTTCGCCATTGCTGATGCTTAATGACTGGATTGCAATAGTACATGTTCACAAGTATTTGTAATTGTAGTGAACCCTACTGAACATTCGTCGCCAGTTGAATGACAAAATTAGGGTGTTAAAAGACATGTAGGTGTTGAAAGGTTTGCGTCGACTTGTTGTATGATTTAATGATTCTAGAAAGTTGCTGCAAGCTGCTGTTGTTTAATCTAAGCATGGCGATAGTATGGATATAGTTGTGGGTTTCATGTTTTCTTCTGCAATATTCACTGATTGTGCTTTAGTTTTAATTGGTATGTAGAGCGAAAATTGAGTTTTCTTAAAACTAGATATTAATTTTGAGAAATAGAATAGAAACCATCGTGTTAGGTTTCCTCGACAGACCAGGAATTAAAATACAAATACTAAGAATTGTTTACTGATTTCGCTACTTAAAATTATTTGAGTGAGTTTGAAGACAATCGCCAATATTAAATGCATTTAAAAATACAGTGCATGACGAAAGAAAAAACGATTATTCCCGACCATGTCTCATCTTGCTTTGCTCTTTTTATTAAATTTTTCACTTTTACAATAAAGAGGTTATTTAGCAGTGAATTCCTACAGGAGCTAATGCACAATGAATGAAATATATGATTCTTATTTTGCAACTAATCTTTTGGGATTTACTAAACAATAGAATTTACCCACGCCAGCTGGAGTACATAAAAGCATGATAGAATATTCTTTTGTATCAGCCCGCCAGTATGTCTGACGTGAATAACATCAATTCCTACCAACTTTGTTTATCAGCCTTGTATTTGCTTGTTTTGTCTCCATTTGATATTGAAAACACCTCATTCGATAATTACAAGCCTGATTTTTTCAAACTGAAAGAATACCGTTATATAGACATAGTAGTTCACACACAATAGCGTGTTGAAGTTCGATTATCTATTTGTAATAACTTTATACTTCATTTACAAATTTGCATTTTCAATAATTGCTGGCATGGTGCTATATACATTTAAGCGAATACATGCAGGCTATAGAAAATGGTTTGAGTGTATAACTTTTATGCCAGAATTTCAAAAATAAAGTTATATGTGTATGATTCATGCAGAAATAATCAAAGAACGATTTTGGTAAAGCAGGAAAAAAATTCAATGATAGAGTTGCAATGACCTAGATTATCACATTTAACATGTATTGATGGCGTTAGTATGTGGGTCTTGGATTGTATCATTTATTCGTGATCCAGTAGTTAAATTTGTCATGAGTTTCTATGGTAGTTAATCCGTGTAAATGGCTTTACTGACCATTTTATGTAGTTAAAAATCGTAATATGGAGTTGCAGTTGCTTGCGTACAAAAATGACAAAGCTAAAGAGCTTGGAACGCACAGGGTTAAAATATGGCAGATGTTCTTCAATTATGATTTAGGAAATTTGACCTAATTAAACCCATATTTTTGATATCTTCCTGTAGACGTACGTGTACAACAAATGAAATATTGCAAACGAAAGCTATAAGTGGAAATAAAAAGTTTTTAACAGGAGCAAAAGGATATTATTGTTTTGGAAACGTGATAGAATTGTCGTCAATGAAATGTGTATTGAGCGGTAGAGATTGGGTTTTTTCGTTTTATGTGTTTTCCGACATCTTTTGGTTTCACCTGAATTTAACTCCATCGACAGTCTATACATGGTATTTTTGTAAAAGTCTTTGAGTGCGCCGTGAAGGCTGCAGAAAATAGCACAGAAAAGATTTATACGTCGAAGCCAATTGTGCCAAAGTGAAACCAGGAGAGATTCAGAAAGTATATGGAAAGTTAGACGTTTTCTTTGTTAGTACATGGTAACAATATTTCCCTGAGATGTTTAATGAGTATAATGTCGCACTTTTGCATAATAAAGACAAAATTGCCGGATGTTTAATCTTTACAGCACGTCATGTCTGCAGATAAAACAGACGATAACGACTAACAATGTTTATTGACTTAATTTAAAATAATTAACTTGTGATCATGAAAAAGTTACTGGCATTAAAAGCAACAAGCTGAAGGCAACTGTAAATAGAATAACGAACAAAGATGTATGTATGCATGATTTATCTAGAAATGTTTTCAAGCTGTGACTTTTGTTGCCCGCATAAATGCTTCACGTTTCTTACAAAATACATATGTAATATTCTTTCGTGGCAGCTCTCTATAAAAAGAGGCCAAAAGCTGTCTTTAATCATCATTCATCATCCTGCTGTTGGAACCAGAAGAAAACAAGAAAAAGGTTAATCATGAAGATAACCTATCTTGTCATCGCTCTTGGATTGCTTTGCACTTTTGCTTACGCCCAAGCGAAACTTGACGATGGGGTTATGAAAGGTAATGATGCAAAGCTCATATATTAAATACTTTATCTATCATCAACCATTTCTCTTGACCAGCTTTTGTACATGTTTACAGAATGATGGTTTCTTCATTTAGAATCCGATGAAAAAACCGCCCCAGTGGAAACTGTCGAGGAAGAATTTGTAGAAAATGATGATGAAAATCCAGAAGAAGAAAATGATGATGAAAATCCAGAAGAAGAAAATGATGATGAAAATCCAGAAGAAGAAAGTTATGATGAAACTGACTCCGAACATGACTTAGAACAAAGTGATGATCGTGAACTCACAGAGAACAAGTAAGTTAACTTTAGCTACTACGTTTACGTTCCTGACATCGAAATGCTTCGTTTTGTATGCTATAGTTGGCCTTGACATTTAGTCTCTGCTATGAAAGTTGATGAACGTGAACAGGGCCGTCCTTATAACGTTTATCAGGGGAGATGTAATCCTTTCAAACAACTGGCCATCGAACCAGTACCGAATACGCTATAGAACAAAACATCGACAATTTTCAAGGTCTACTAAATGACGCCCCTCCGGTGTTTACTGTAACGCTGTTCGAACTGTTCGTTTCTTGCTCTTATGTTACTTTCGATTCATTTGAAAATGTTAGTCTCTTACTTCTTATTTACGCTTTATCCAAATCAACCGTTATGTTGATGTTTAGTTGTTAAAGATATTTTTTCTCCTGACTAATATAATACTTTTACCGACAGCATTTAAAAATAAAGTTTTTGGGGTGGTTGACCCTTTCTTTACCCGTACATTGTGTTTTGTAGTAATGATGTGAAAGCTGATCCAAGTGTAGAAAAACGCTCGCCTCTCTCGCCGTCCGTCCCGTCGTCATTTGGCGTCCCGTCGTCCTATTATCGTCGCCGTCCTATTTGGCGTCCCCGTCGTCCTATTTGGCGTCCCCGTCGTCCTATTTGGGGCTAAAAATGCAAAAACCCGTAAGGATCCTGTGGAATGTGTAGCGATGAATAAGAAACATTCATTTGATTCTAGACGTACTTTAAATTGGCATTGTTGTATGTTTTGCCTGTAGAAAATAGATGTTTGCATTGATTATTGACTGTGTGTCTTCATCGTCTTTTTTTATTGATTTCAATAATAAGACGTTTGGTTGTTTATCAACAATCCCATAGAATTACATTGTCTTTGTGGTTCTGTCATATAAATAAAAAAGTTCTCTCACATATCATATCATCTGTGTAGAAATAAGACGAGTAAGAGTGCGATTATCGTCAACATGTTTGTATAAAGCATTTTTTTATCACTACTATCAATGATGTAATCCATTGCTCATTCAGGAAAATTTCTTAAAAAAGCTACACTGTAGTTGGCAAAAGCGTTCGGCGTTTTCTTTGTCAGGCAAGGATTTGTTTTGACTACATGATATGTCGTTGGGTGTTTTCATGTAAAAGGCTTTGTCAAAATTAAATCAAAGCAATAAATAAAAAAGATATATAGTGCGTTCGTAGGAAGATATTTAAAGACTTTACCACGCTTTATACCACGCTAGATACTTTACGAAGATATTAAGTGCCTTTACACAAATCTGTAAATTTTCATCATATCCATAAATTTTTCATTTGATTAAAAACATTCACTGGTGGAGAAAATATTTGCACAAAAACGAACAAGAATCATAAAGTTTGTCTCGTAGTTTTTACTACTTATCAATAAATTGATAAAATACAATTTATCTTATCCAATGGCGATTAAAACCTGCTTATAATTGAGTTTCTAGAAATTTTCTATGTTTGTGGGTTAATCAATAAGTTGTATTCATTATAGAATTCAATGGTCGTTTCTATTTTTTTAATATTATAAGAGATGCGTCTACATGAAGTACATCATTTTTAGCACTGTACACTTAAGCGCGGGATTACGCTGCGAAATTTAAAGATTGATAACAATTGTTGTCGTTTTATCATTGTAAATAAACGTGTTTTTGCCACACTAAACAAAAGAATTATCAAAGAAGTGTTGCATCTTACTTATTCTTAAATAATGTCGAAACGACGACGTGAAACGGATACGAACAAGCAGTCATTTCAAGGAGACGTTGGTGCTGATGAAGACACAACAAACCCAGTTGTTTTTGAGAAATACGCTAAAACAGATATTTCCACTGATGAAACGGTATGCATATAATCACGCTTACTTTACAAAATATGAATATTTGTGAAAATATTACATTTTGTGTTTATTTTTTGTAGTTTGTTGAATACCAGGATGTAAGTGTAATAGTCTTTTATTAAAACAATTTTAAAATGACATATGTAACATGGGTGACGTCAGAGGAGTGACGTCAGTTTTGGTGGTTTACTTGAGAATGTGTTCATGTCATGATTGCCATTTTTCTGTTGATATTTTACCTTGTGACTGTTTTCCACAATGAAACATTGAGAAATCAAAATTTGATGTCCAAAAAAGGGGGTGAATAACAAAGTTGAAGTCGCTGGTCGCTTTGCTAATTTGATGATACCAAACTGTTGAGATATTTATTATTAAAAAAAATGCAGACGAGATTAAATTTGATATCCGAATAATTCAGCAGAGTTTTAATTTGCCTGTATTGTAGGGGCTTTGGAAGCTTTTAAAAGTTGTGGGTGTTCCATATTAATTATGCTATCACCTACGTTATTTTATCTACTTATAAACTACTTACTTGATATTGATTATTTTTTGTTTTTTTTTTTGCATTAGAAGCATCATTTCATAGCGAAAGGCCTATTTATTGATTTGAAAAGTTGATACAAAATTAAAATATCATTATCATTAACGTTCAAACAAAAAGCTAAATTTCTAGGTGTCTTTCCTGTAAGGGACACTGATGCTCAAAAAATTGTGGTTTTCTTGCAGTCCTTGGTAAAGAAATCCCAAACTTATTTTGTATAAAAGAAAACTACATATGATCATTTCAGAACTCGAAGGAAAATTCCGAGATTTCAGGAAAACGGAACAACTTCCGCAAATGGCAAAGTTGCAATCAAAGAAAACTGAAATCATTATGGACACAGAAGAGAAGGCGGAGAAGACTGATTTAAAAGCTCAGAAGTCACTGGATGGAGATGACAGTGCAAGCGACAGGGGGTCAGTTGCCGAGGAGACAAACAGCCATCTTTTTCAAGAACTACTTGATGTAGTACTTAAAACGAAGGACAACAATGGCCGCATGATTTGTGAACTGTTTCTAAAACTACCACCTAGACAAGTAAGGAATAATTGCATAGTTGTGGTGCTAGCCATAGTTGTGGTGCTATCCTGTCATGATTGTGGTGTTTCACTTTCCATAGTTGTGGTGCTATCCTGCCATGACTATGGTGTTTTACCTTCCATAGTTGTGGTGCTATCCTGCCATGACTGTGGTGTTTTACTTTCCATAGTTGTGGTGCTATCCTGCCATGACTATGGTGTTTTACCTTCCATAGTTGTGGTGCTATCGTGCCATGACTGTGGTATTTTACTTTCCATAGCTTTGGTGCTATCCTGCCATGATTGTGGTGCTTTACTTTCCATAGGTGTGGTGTTATCCTGGCATGGTTGTGGTGCCAAAAGAGGTATGACCCAAGCAAGGACTAGATTAAATGCTAGTGCAAATGTGATGTCCAGGACTGAGACTACTATGAAGGTGGAGAGGAAGAGAGGTATGACTTAAGCAAGGACTAGATTAAATGCTAGTGCAAAGGTGATGTCTAGGACTGAGACTACAATGAAGGTTGAGAGGAAGAGAGGTATGACCCAAGCAAGGGCTAGATTCAATGCTAGTGCAAAGGTTATTTCTAGGACTGAGACTACAATGAAGGTTGAGAGGAAGATAGGTATGACCCAAGCAAGGACTAGATTCAATGCTATTGCAAAGGTGATGTCCAGGACTCAGACTACAATGAATGTCGAGAGGAAGAGAGGTATGACCCAAGCATGGACTAGATTAAATGCTTGTGCAAAGGTGATGTCCAGGACTGAGACTACAATGAATGTCGAGAGGAAGAGAGGTATGACCCAAGCAAGGACTAGATTAAATGCTATTGCAAAGGTGATGTCCAGGACTGAGACTACAATGAAGGTGGAGAGGAAGAGAGGTATGACCCAAGCAAGGACTAGATTAAGTGCTAGTGCAAAGGTGATGTCCAGGAATGAGACTACAATGAAGGTCGAGAGGAAGAGAGGTATGACCCAAGCAAGGACTAGATACAATGCTAGTGTAAGGGTGATGTCCATCACTGAGACTATTATGAAGGTCGAGAGGAAGAGAGGTATGACCCAGGTATGGACTATAAAAAAGCTTTGGATGTAATGAAACAAGCAACTGCAATGCCATCCAGCAGAACTAGCTTTTATGATGAGGTATGTATGGGATATTGTAGGATATCCGGCAATCTGCGTTGACTTATTTTTGTTTTATTAAAGCAGGTCACACCAAGGGATATTTTTAAGGATTTTACACTGCGAGGCCATAAAGCTCAAAAGGACCTGTGAAGCTTGAGTCACGTGACAGAGGGTCCGGAAATACCTTTCTACAGCGTAATTTTCAAAACTGCAATTTTTTAAATGCTACGTATTTTATGTGTTTGTAGAGCAATTTGATAACAGCATTAATCAATTTGTTATGAAATAAGCATTCTCACTTCAAGCGTACTATATATTATGCGCAGTGAAGTATTTGAATTACCAGTATGCGTATATGTTAAAATATACCTTGAATCACACTAGTTACTGCATTTCTTCTTTTGTTTAATTTAGACAGAATCTGTTCAAAAACGTCTCCATAAATCACTGAAGGTTTGGTCAATGTATGCTGATTTGGAGGAGAGTTTAGGGACAATTGAGGTATCCAATGGATAGCCTTTATCAAACACGAACATCTATGTACATGCAATGATAGTTTAGGAACGTTTTACGTGGCCGATGGATAGTTTTTGCCAAATGGGGATATCTATGTATATGCACTTATAGTTTAGGAACATTTGAGGTGAACAATGGATAGCCTTTATAAAACACAGTCATCTAGTTATATGGATAATTTAGGAACGTTTGAGGTGGCCAATGGATAGTTTTTGCCAAACACAGACATGTATATAGGTACATTTATGGCTTTATTTCTACAGTCGACAAAAGCCGTTTACGATCGCATTTTGGATTTAAAAATTGCCAACCCTCAGATTATCATTAACTTTGCGTTATTTTTGGAGGAACATCATTATTTTGAAGAATCCTTTAAGGTAATTCAATTGTTAAATACTAAAATTTGTGAACCATCTCATAAGCTTATAGTATTACTTTAAGTTTGTTTTGGTAAATGCATTTCCATGAAATTTTTATTATTGTCAGGTGTTCGAACGTGGCGTTGCATTGTTTAAATGGCCTAATGTTTTTGATGTTTGGAACACGTACTTAATGAAGTTTATCAAACGATATGTGAGCTTGTTGTTTTGTTGTTTATTTATTAAAAAATTACAACTTAGATTATTTCATTGCCACACAGTTAGTGTGTTGTGAAACCTTGGTAAATCTTAAAATGTTTTCTTTCAAATTTTGCACATCAAGGGTGGAACAAAACTTGAGCGTATTCGTGATTTATTCGAACAAACTTTGGAAAAATGTCCAGCAAAGTTTGCTAAAGGTTCAACAGAAACATTTTCTTTAAGTTAACATTTCCATCATACAGCAACTTCGATTAACTCTACGTTGACAAACTCCCTTTCATCTTTCTTTAGCTTTTTATCTGATGTACGCACGTCTCGAAGAGGATCACGGTCTTGCCCGTCATGCAATGGCCATTTAAGACAGAGCAACAAGAGCAGTGCTGCCTGAAGAACAATTTGAGGTGGAACAGACGCAGGGATTTAGTTACGAAGCTTAGTTTTATTTAATTTTCATCCTTGCTTTATCTGTTCAGATCTGCAATATTTATATCAAGAGAGCTGCTGAAATATTTGATGTTACACATACGAGAGAGATTTATGAAAAAGCCATTGAGTTTCTTGGTGATGACCATGCTCGGTAGGAGACAGTTTTGTATGGGAACTTGTGTATATATTTGGCATACAATTGTGACATGGTCTTTTGTCTAAATGACAGAGAGATGTGCACTCGCTTTGCTGAACTTGAACGTAAACTTGGAGAAATAGATCGCGCACGTGTTCTGTACATGCATGCTTCACAAATGGCCGATCCAAGGGTAATTATTCAAGACATATATAACCTTGAGCGTCGTGGCAAAATAAACCTGCAATTTGCTTTTGGAAGACTTGGCATGACTTTGAGGTTCATCATGGTAACGAAGACACTTTTCGTGAGATGCTACGCATTAAAAGGAGCGTACAGGCCATGTATAATACGCAGGTGTTGATGAAATGGCATGTGCAATTACACACTTGTTTTTTAAGCTATTTATTTGATAATTATACGGACATGCATATATACGTTCACCTAATCTTTCTCATTTTTTCACATGTAAGTTAGCTTCATGTCCGCTCAAATGCTTGCTGCATCTCAAGCAATGTGTGGTGAGTTATACGACTATCCGAGGAAAATTGAATCTACTCACATCACACTTCTTTCCTCTTTCACCACAGCCGCTAAATATTTTTTGTTGACAAATGTAGATGTACTTATTTACTTATACAGATGCGGCGACCGGTATGTCTGCAGACGACATGGAGAATTTGGAAAAACAAGCTCGAGCAATGGCTGAACAAGCGAAAAAGAATCAAGTGAAGCCGAAACGTGATGTTCTTTTTGTGAAGTAATTAATGGATCGTGGCTTATTGCTTTAGCAAGTACTTTTGTCTCATGGGTTAACCTATGCTGCTTTTAATTGACATCCCCTGGGGATTTAGTTAAAATTAACTGTACTGAGTCTTATTTGTGTTAATATAATTTGTGTTAAAGGCGAAGCAACTGATGAGGACAATTTAGAAGCGTTGGCAAGAATAGCGAATCCTGAAGAGATCTCAATTGATGAAGACGATGAAGACGAAGATGCAAAGATTGAAGGTGCATTTGTGACAGCTCACGCACTTTTGTGTTATTATGATCAGATCGACATGACAGAAAGCGCGGAAATATGAAACTTGACATCAGAAGAAATTTTAAAAGTGTATTTTTGTACAATCATCTCTTATGTAGAAGTTCAACTTGAACAACAAATAGTGCCTTCAAAGGTATAAGTATGACTTTGTATATTCAACCTCATAGCTATTTTCATAAATCACTATAAATTATTTTGCAAATCATGATCTTTAATCCTCTTCATGTTATCGTACTATTTCAGGTTTTTGGAAGCCTTATAAAAGACGACTAGATTTCATTGATGGATAATAAGTTGTACGGTCATGGAACATTCTTGCTTTGGTTGCGTCTTTGGAGCTTAACTTCATCGTTATTTGAAAAGTTTGTTTTTCGTCATGTATCACTTTTTGAAGGAGGAAACTTCACCACAGTCAAGACATTCAAATGAGTCATAATGCTTTTGTATGATTTTGCATTTACATAAACCCTCGACATTAGCTTCCGTATTTGTGGATATCCAATAACATATAAGGTACTTTTGGACCAATCAAGGTATAGTGCCAGTCTACTAAATTTTTCTCGCGCAAAGCAATAGATATGTAGTGACGCAGAATATGAAATTATATTATTCTGTATTACCATTCGAGTTACAAGGTGATGAGACCAATTTATTTAAAAATGAACAGCTTTAGAGTTTATTACAATGAAAGCACTTCATTTGAATCAATTCTGTTTACAAATTTTGCAAGATTAAATCCCAAAAATGTGATAACAAAAGTAAGATGTAATGAATACATTGGATTCCAAACGGTAGTTTCAAACTTATTGTATGTTGTTATGTCGTTAATTCCACATAACTTGTGTGAACAAATTTACAGAATCTTCCTTCGTTTTGTTAATTTCACCCAAGTTTAACACTAGCCACATTAAATGTTTTGTAGTCATCCTATTCTCTTTCATATTTTAGACTGATTAATTGGCATCTATATTAGCAAAGCGAGTGTTCTTATAACTCTTAGCACATAATAATTATAATATAGTGCAGGTTTAACCAACATGATAAATTTTAGCTGAATTAGGATATGTAATTTTATCTTAGCTTACTTTTCAGTAACATAAGTTGTGTTATTTTATTTTATCAACTTAACAAATATGAATGAATGAATGAATGAATGAATGAATGAATGAATGAATGAATGAATTAATGAGTCACGTCTCCTTTGAAATAAGATTTCTGCATTACACACTCAACAGGATCATTGTAAAACGTTTTCTATAAATGGCAATCGTTACATGTGACATGGATTTAGTAATCACATTGACACTAGCACAACTTTTATCATATTTTTGCTTAAAAATACGATTGAGGGCACACTTAGTTTGCTTTTTAGAATTTAAAGTACGAGGAAAAAGTTATTTTTACTCCTAAAGGCTGAAACACACTAGGCAGTCGCTTTAGTCGCGCGTCTAAAACTACCGCTTTGCGTGGTTACTGAGGTTAATTGTGTGTAATTACGTGGGTTAATGACGACACGTGTGAATCTACTATCGTACCAACAGACGCAAAGCGGAAGACGATTCATATTAAAATCGGCTTTTGCAAACTGCGGTGAATGAATCAAACCAAAAAATATATAAACATTGCATTATATTGTTGACTTACACACAAACTATTTGAAGTTGAGAGTGCGTTAGATATCGTTGGAAGAATGGTGAAAATGGATTAATTGTTATAGAAATATTTGTGTTAAAACAAGATACATAGTTTTTGTAACAACAGTTTTTGCCATTGGTGAGGCTTAATGACTGAATTACAATAGTACACGTTCACAAGTATTTGTAATTGTAGTGAACCCTACTGAACATTCGTCGCCAGTTGAATGACAAAATTAGGGTGTTAAAAGACATTTAGGTGTTGAAAGGTTTGCGTCGACTTGTTGTATGATTTAATGATTCTAGAAAGTGTCTGCGAGTTGCTGTTGTTTAATGTAAGCATGGCGATAGTATGGATATAGATGTGGGTTTCATGTTTTCTTCTGCAATATTCACTGATTGTGCTTTAGTTTTAATTGGTATGTAGAGCGAAAATTGAGTTTTCTTAAAACTAAATATTAATTTTGAGAAATAGAATGGAAACCATCGTGTTAGTTTTTCTTTGACAGACTAGGAATTAAAATACAAATACTAAGAATTGTTTGCTGATTTCGCTACTTAAAATTATTTGATTGAGTTTGAAGATAATCGCCAATATTAAATGCATTTAAAAATACAGAGCATGACGAAAGAAAAAACGATTATTCCCGACCATGTCTCATCTTGCTTTGCTCTTTTTATTAAAATTTTCACTTTTACAATAAAGAGGTTATTTAGCAGTGAAATTCCCACAAGAGCTAATGCGCAATAAATGAGATATATGACTCTTATTTTGCAACTAATCTTTTGGGATTTACTAAACAATAGAATTTACCCACGCCAGCTGGAGTACATAAAAGCATTGATAGAATGTTCTTTTGTATCAGACCCCCAGTATGTCTGACGAGAATAACATCAATTCTTACCAACTTTGTTTATCAGCCTTGTAATTGCTTGTTTTGTCTCCATTTGATATTGAAAAAGAAAGATATAAAATAAAGATAATGATTTATAATGATTTATGCAGAAATAATGAAAGAACGATTTTGGTTAAGCAGGAAAAAAATAAAAAATAAAAAGATAAAAAATAAAGATGATTTATAATGATTTAAGCAGAAATAATGAAAGAACGATTTTGGTAAAGCAGGAAAAAAATTCAATGATAGAGTTGCAATGACGTAGATTATCACATGTAACATGTATTGATGGCGTTAGTATATGGGTCTTGAATTGTATCATTTATTCGTGATCCAGTAGTTGAATTTGTCATGAGTTTCTATGGTAGTTAATCAATGTAAATGGCTTTACTGACCATTTTATGTAGTTAAAAATCGTAATATGGAGTTGCAGTTGCTTGCGTACAAAAATGACAAAGACAAAGAGCTTGGAACGCACAGGGTTAAAATATGGCAGATGTTCTTCAATTATGATTTAGGAAATTTGACCTAATTAAACCCCTATTTTTGATATCTTCCTGTAGACGTACGTGAACAACAAATGAAATATTGCATACGAAAGCTATAAGTTGAAACAAAAAGTTTTTAACCGGAGCAAAAGGATGTTATTGTTTTGGAAACGTGATAGAATTGTCGTCAATGAAATGTGTATTGAACGGTAGAAATTGGGTTTTTGTTTGCATGCATGATTTATCTAGAAATGTTTTCAAGCTGTGACTTTTGTTGCCCGCATAAATGCTTCACGTTTCTTTCAAAATACATATGTAATATTCTTTCGTGGCAGCTCTCTATAAAAGAGGCCAAAAGCTGTCTTCAATCATCATTCATCATCCTGCTGTTGGAACCAGAAGAAAACAAGAAAAAGGTTAATCATGAAGATAACCTATCTTGTCATCGCTCTTGGATTGCTTTGCACTTTTGCTTACGCTCAAGCGAAACTTGAAGATGAGGTTATGAAAGGTAATGATGCAAAGTTTATATATTAAATACTTTATCTATCATCAACCATTTCTCTTGACCAGCTTTTGTACATGATTAAAGAAAGAATGATGTTTTCTTCATTTAGAATACGATGAAAAAACCGCCCCAGTGGAAACTGTCAAAGAAGAATTTGTAGAAAATGATGATGAAAATCCAGAAGAAGAAAATGATGATGAAAATCCAGAAGAAGAAAATGATGATGAAAATCCAAAAGAAGAAAGTGATGATGAAACTGACCCCGAACATGACTTAGAACAAAGTGATGATCGTGAACTCACAGAGAACAAGTAAGTTAACTTTATCTACTACGTTTACGTTCCTGACATCGAAATGCTTCGTTTTGTATGCTATAGTTGGCCTTGACATTTAGTCTCTGCCATGAAAGTTGATGAACGCGAACAGGGCCGTCCTTATAACGTTTATCAGGGGGGAGATGTAATCCTTACAAACGACTGGCTATCGAACTAGTACCGAATACACTATAGAACAAAACCTCGACAATTTTCAAGGTCTACTAAATGACGCCCCTCCGGTGTTTACTGTAACGCTGTTCGAACTGTTCATTTCTTGCTCTTATGTTATTCTCGATTTATTTGAAAACGTTAGTCTCTTACTCCTTATTTACGCTTTATCCAAATGAACCGTAATGTTGATGTTTAGTCGTCAAAGATATTTTTTCTGCCGACTAATATAATACTTTTACCGACTACATTTAAAAGTAAAGTTTTTGTGGTGTGTGACCCTTTCCTTTCACGTACATTGTGTTTTGTAGTAATGATGTGAAAGCTGATCCAAGTGTAGAAAAACGCTCGCCTTTTTGGCGTCGACGTCGCTATTATTATTATAGACGTCGTCGCTATTATTATTATAGACGTCGTCGTTTTTGGCATCGTCGTCGTCGTAGTTGGGGCTAATATGGCAAAAACCCGTAAGGATCCTGTGGAATGTGTAGCGATTAATAAGAAACATTCATTTGATTCTAGACGTACTTTAAATTGGCATTGTTGTATGATTTGCCTGTAGAAAATAGATGTTTGCATTGATCATTGACTTTGTGTTTCTTCATCGTCTTTTTTTATTTATTTCAATAATAAGACGTTTGGTTGTTTCTCAACAATCCTATAGAATTACATTGTCTTTGTGGTTGTGTCATAGAAATAAAAAAGTTCACTCACATATCATATCATCTGTGTAGAAATAAGACGAGTAAGAGTGAGATTATCGTCAACATGTTTCTATAAAGCATTTTTTTATCACTACTATCAATGATGTAATCCATAGCTCATTCAGGAAAAGTTCTTAAAAAAGCTACACTGTAGTTAGTAAAAGCGTTTCGCGTTTTGTTTGGCAGGCAAGGATTTGTTTTGACTATATGATATGTCGTTGGGTGTTTCCATGTAGAAGGCTTTGGCAAAATTAAATCAATGCAATAAATAAAAAAGATATATAGTGCGTTCGTAGGAAGATATTTAAAGACTTTAGCACGCTTTATACCACGCTAGATACTTTACGAAGATATTAAGTACCTTTATACAAATCTGTAAATTTTCATCACATCCGTAAATTTTTCATTTGATTAAAAACATTCGCTGGTGGAGAGAATATTTGCACAAAAACGAACAAGAATCATAAAGCTTGTCTCTTAGTTTTTACTACTTATCAATAAATTGATAAAATACAATTTATCTTATCTAATGGCGATTAAAACCTGCTTATAATTGAGTTTCTAGAAATTTTCTATGTTTATGAGTTAATCAATAAGTTGTATTCATTGAGTTCTTTAAGACCTGGAGGGAACATGTCAACCAAATTACTATAAATTATTAGCGCGCGGCCCGTGATCAAAAACATGGCGGATTTTGGTTGTCATCCATTGAACTAAATATAACTGGAACTAAATATAACTAAATATAAGTCGGTCGATAATGCGAATTAGTGGTCAAAAACATGGCGGATTTTGGTTGTCAAAGTCAGCGGAAAGACGCGGGCTTATCAAATAAAAATTTTGTATTTTTGCATTTTCAATAATTGCTGGCATGGTGCTATATACCTTTGAGCGAATACTTGTAGACTATAGAAAATGCTCTGAGTGGATAACTTTTATGCCAGAATTTCAATAATAAAGATATATGTGTATGATTTATGCAGAAATAATGAAAGAACGATTTTGGTAAAGCAGGAAAAAAATTCAATGATAGAGTTGCAATGACCTAGATTATCACATGTAACATGTATTGATGGCGTTAGTATGTGGGTCTTGAATTGTATCATTTATTCGTGATCCAGTACTTGAATTTGTCATGAGTTTCTATGGTAGTTAATCCGTGTAAATGGCTTTACTGACCATTTTATGTAGTTAAAAATCGTAATATGCAGTTGCAGTTGCTTGCGTACAAAAATGACAAAGATAAAGAGCTTGGAACGCACAGGGTTAAAATATGGCAGATGTTCTTCAATTATGATTTAGGAAATTTGACCTAATTAAACCCCTATTTTGGATATCTTCCTGTAGACGTACGTGTACAACAAATGAAATATTGCATACGAAAGCTATAAGTTGAAACAAAAAGTTTTTAACAGGAGCAAAAGGATGTTATTGTTTTGGAAACGTGATAGAATTGTCGTCAATGAAATGTGTAATGAGCGGTAAAGATTGGGTTTTTTCGTTTTATGTGTTTTCAGACATCTTTTGGTTTCACCTGGATTTAACTCCATTGACAGTCTATACATGGTATTTTTGTAAAAGTCTTTGAGTGCGCCGTCAGAGCTGCAGAAAATAGCACAGAAAAGATTTATACGTCGAAGCCAATTGTGCCAAAGTGAAACCAGGAGAGATTCAGAAAGTAAATGGAAAGTTAGACGTTTTCTTTGTTAGTACATGGTAAAAACATTTCCCTGAGATGTTTAATGAGTATAATGTCGCAGTTTTGCATAAAAAAGGCAAAATTGCCGCATGCTTAATCTTTACTGCACGTCATGTCTGCAGATAAAACAGACGACATGTAAACTTCCTGTATTTATTCAATTGGCACTGAAGATGGCATAAAGTATGCCGAAACATGTTTGCTTTAAAAAAATTTGTCGTTTATTTTAAATGTCTTATAACCATTGTGCTCTTACGATCTTACAAAATACATATGTAATATTCTTTCGTGGCAGCTCTCTATAAAAAGAGGCGAAAATCTGTCTTCAATCATCATTTATCATACTGCTGTTGGAACCAGAAGAAAACAAGAAAAAAGTTAATCATGAAAATAACCTATCTTGTCATCGCTGTTGGATTGCTTTGCACTTTTGCTTACGCTCAAGCGAAACTTGAAGATGGGGTTATGAAAGGTAATAATGCAAAGCTCATATATTAAATACTTTATCTATCATCAACCATTTCTCTTGACCATCTTTCGTACATGATTAAAGAATGATGGTTTCTTCATTTAGAATCCGATGAAAATACCGCCCCAGTGGAAACTGTCGAGGAAGAATTAGTAGAAAATGATGATGAAAATCCAGAAGGAGAAAATGATGATGAAAATCCAGAAGAAGAAAATTATGATGAAAATCCAGAAGAGGAAAGTGATGATAAAACTGACCCCGAACATGACTTAGAACAAAGTGATGATCGTGAACTCACAGAGAACAAGTAAGTTAACTTTATCTACTACGTTTACGTTCCTGACATCGAAATGCTTCATTTTGTATGCTATAGTTGGCCTTGACATTCAGTCTCTGCCATGAAAGTTGATGAACGCGAACATTGCGTCCTTATAACGTTTATCAGGGGGGAGATGTAATCCTTTCAAACGACTGGCTATCGAACCAGTACCGAATACACTATAGAACAAAACCTCGACAATTTAAGGTCTACTAAATAACGCCCCTCCGGTGTTTACTGTAACGCTGTGCGAACTGTTCATTTCTTGCTGTTTTGTTATTCTCGATTTATATGAAAATGTTAGTCTCTTACTTCTTATTTACGCTTTATCCAAATCAACCGCAATGTTGATGTTTAGTCGTCAAAGATATTTTTTCTGCCGACTAATATAATACTTTTACCGACTACATTTAAAAGTAAAGTTTTTGGGGTGTGTGACCCTTTCCTTACACGTACATTGTGTTTTGTAGTACTGATGTGAAAGCTGATCCAAGTATAGAAAAATGCTCGCCTCGTTGGAGCTATAAGTATTATAGACGTCGTCATAATCTTTTCCGTCGTCGTAGTTGGACTCACCGTCGTCGTTTTTTGGGCTAATATGGCAAAAACCCCGTAAGGATCCTGTGGAATGTGTAGCGATTAATGAGAAACATTCATTTGATTCTAGACGTACTTTAAATTGGCATTGTTGTATGATTTGCCTGTAGAAAATAGATGTTTGCATTGATCATTGACTTTGTGTGTCTTCATCGTCTATTTTCTATTTATTTCAATAAAAAAGCTACAATGTAGTTGGCAAAATCGTTTGGCGTTTTCTTTGCCAGTTAAGGATTTGTTTTGGCTATATGAGATGTCGTTGGGTGTTTCCATGTAGAAGGCTTTGGTAAAATTAAATCAAAGCAATAAATAAAAATGGTATATAGTGCGTTCGTAGGAAGATATTTAAAGACTTTACAACGCTTTATACCACGCTAGATACTTTACGAAGATATTAAGTGCCTTTACACAAATCTGTAAATTTTCATCACATCCGTAAATTTTTCATTTGACTAAAAACATTCACTCGTGGAGAGAATATTTGCACAAAAACGAACAAGAATCATAAAGCTTGTCTGTTAGTTTTTACCACTTATCAATAAATTGATAAAATACAAATTATCTTATCTAATGGCGATTAAAACCTGCTTATAATTGAGTTTCTAGAAATTTTCTATTTTTGTGAGTTAATCAACAAGTTGTATTCATTGAGTTCTATAGGACCTGGAGGGAACATGTCAACCAAATTACTATAAATTATTAGCGCGCGGCCCGTGGTGAAAAACATGGCGGATTTTCGTTGTCAAAGTCAGCGGAAAGACGCGAGCTTATCAAATAAAAATTTTGTATTTTTGCATCTTCAATTATTGCTGCCATGGTGCTATATACCTTTGAGCGAATACATGCAGGCTATAGAAAATGCTTTGAGTGGATAACTTTTATGCCAGAATTTCAATAATAAAGATATATGTGTATGATTTATGCAGAAATAATGAAAGAACGATTTTGGTAAAGCAGGAAAAAAATTCAATGATAGAGTTGCAATGACCTAGATTATCACATGTAACATGTATTGATGGCGTTAGTATGTGGGTCTTGAATTGTATCATTTATTTGTGATCCAGTACTTGAATTTGTCATGAGTTTCTATGGTAGTTAATCAATGTAAATGGCTTTACTGACAATTTTATGTAGTTAAAAATCGTAATATGCAGTTGCAGTTGCTTGCGTACAAAAATGACAAAGCTAAAGAGCTTGGAACGCACAGGGTTAAAATATGGCAGATGTTCTTCAATTATTATTTAGGAAATTTGACCTAATTAAACCCCTATTTTTGATATCTTCCTGTAGACGTACGTGTACAACAAATGAAATATTGCATACGAAAGCTATAAGTAGAAACAAAAAGTTTTTAACAGGAGCAAAAGGATGTTATTGTTTTGGAAACGTGATAGAATTGTTGTCAATGAAATGTGTATTGAACGGTAGAGATTGGGTTTTTTCGTTTTATGTGTTTTTCCACATCTTTTGGTTTCACCTGAATTTAACTCCATTGACAGTCTATACCTGGTATTTTTGTAAAAGTCTTTGAGTGTGCCGTCAGAGCTGCAGAAAATAGCAACGAAAAGATTTATACGTCGAAGCCAATTGTGTCAAAGTGAAACCAGGAGAGATTCAGAAAGTATGTGGAAAGTTAGACGTTTTCTTTGTTAGTACATGGTAAAAACATTTCCCTGAGATGCTTAATGAGTATAATGTCGCAGTTTTGCATAAAAAAGGCAAAATTGCCGGATACTTAATCTTTACAGCACGTCTTGTCTGCAGATAAAACAGACGACATGTAAACTTCCTGTATTTATTG